CCTATCAGAGAGGCCTGCCAACCTCCTCCTGATGGTTTGGAAAAAGGAACAGGTGGAGAAAAACTTAAGTTTTTGCTTCCATATTTATATTTCCTTGCACATTTAATGTATACCAAAAAAAAGTTGTAATCATCAGGATATAAAGGAAAATTCTTATTTGTTGTTCTGAGAGAGGCTTAGTGCTCCATGCCGTCAAGATGCCCCCAGCGCCATCTGTGACTTTAAAAAGAGACATCTGTGCTATGTCCTTGGTCCTTGAACTTACATCAGCCTGTGGCATTTTTATAGCTAGGTCACAGAATTTATGTGGTAGTGTTGGAAATAGTTTTCTAGAAAAAGAAGACTTCATGTTAGAGGAGACCCTAACACAATAGGAGAATGGCCTAATTGGGGGGCGGGGTAGGTTTGCTCACCCAAGTTGGAGAAGTTTGTGACAATGACCCAACTGCCCAAATACCATTCTGCTTGTCTGCCTCTGGATTTCCTAACAATACTTCCTGCTTTACAACATAACCTGTCTCCAGTGCTGAAGCAGCAATTTCTGCAGGTATCTCTTCCTCAGCTTATTTATTAAAGCAGATAAAACCATGAAGCTACAATTCCTTCCTCTTCCTGTCTTGTCTTCACAACCCAGCATAAAGGTGGCAGTATGCTATCCTGTCAGTGATGACTAAAACTGGCCTCCACTTAATCTCTTGTTTATCACAATTCACATTTTCCTCCTTAAAACTTAACTGCCATTAAATTCTTGGCAGATTGCAATCATGCAGTCAGAGTGTGGAAACCTGAGGCCTCAGGGTGGAGAGTGCTGGGCTTCCTCTACTCCTGCCTTTCAAATCTTGCCACGAGTGTCCTCTCTGGTCTTAGAACATATACTTCTGCTTCCAAGGTCTGTTCTGCCAGACCTAAGGCAACAAGGGAGGACTATTAGGCAGGAAAGACATTCTGAAATTTGGCACCCTTGATTGTGTGGTAACAGCCCAGCCAGGCTGGCTAGGCTTCACGATGATGGGGCCATTCCCAAGGGCTGAGCTGGGATGAGAGGCAGGAAGAACACAAGGAAAGCTGAAGAAAACAACCCGCAGCTCACTCCATTGCCTCAGTGTCCTGAACAAAGCCACCTAAGAGCTTCTGGGAAGGTGTGGTGATGCCACCCTGGGAAGCCCTGCCTCTACCCCCAAGTGGACATCCTGCTGATGGGCCCCACACCAGCTATCACAGTTGGGTGACATGGCTGTCAAAGGGCAGGGCTGAGAGAAGAATGGGACCAAGACAGCAGTGTGCCTGCCCATCAGAGACCTTGGGGCTAAGAAGCTAAACCTCTCAGCAGGGGATTTGTCTTTTGTGAATTCTCTGGAGTAGATGGGAATGTGTGGTCAGAGGCCTTGATCTGCATTCTGTTTGTACTCACCCCACCCCTTACACCCACACATGCAAATAATCATGGGTCTCTGGGGCCTTCACCACACCCTTCCTCAGCCCTGGCCCATGAGAGTGAGGTGCCAGTGAGCCAGCTCTGCCTCCTTTGCCCTGCGGCCTGCACTCAGAGGCTCTCTCTTCAGCTGCAAGTTCTGGCAGTATTTATAGTTTTCTGGCAGCTTCCTACTGCCCTCAGGCTTGGCTGATGGCCTCCTCCCTCTTTCCTCACACTCTCTGGCCAGGGGATTGGAACATAAATGCCTTACTAGCTGATCAATCTCCTGGACAGCACCAAAGGGTGGGGAAAGATCTATAAAATGCCATCATCAGTAGCTTCTACCCTCTGTCCTCCTACCTTGTAAATCCTGAGGGATAATCAGGGTGCGCAGGTCACAGTCTCCTAGGGGCTGGGTTCATGCCCTCCTTGAGCGTGGCCTCTCGGCTCTGCTCTGGTAAGTTCAGACAGTCCTTTAAGTCCAAGGCCCACCAACACTGACCTTGGCATGGGGCATCTGGAAACTCTAGGCTCAGGCTCAGCACCACGCTGCTGGCCCCCTATGGAGTCTGTGCTCAGGCTGGGCACTGCCCAGAGGGAGCCTCCCTGTCTGCATCCTCAGCTGGTTCAGCACAAGGGCTTCAGGGAGGGCTGCTCCAAAGAACCAGGTGACCCCACAGCTACTGCCCTTGTCACTGGCTGGGGAAAAGTCAGGGGGTTGCAACCCCTCCTGACTTCTCAGGAAACGTGTGGTAGGCACTACCACTCTTCAGAGGCCACAGGCCTGCAGCACAGAGCTCTATGCCACAGGAAACAGGCAGACCCCCACCTCAGGCAGGTCTGCTTTGCTAAGTGCTGGGCAGATTCCTTTCATGCCCCGAGCCCCACCTCCATCTACAGAATGAGGAGCTGGGTGGCCAAGAACATAAAGCTGTGGAAGACCGGCCCTGATCATAAATCACATCAGCCTTTCATTTATTGGTGGGCTACAGTGGCCTTGGTGAGGTTGCATCTGTACTGAATTCAGCATATTAGGGAATCAGCTGGGCCGCCCCAAAAATGTGTCTAAAAACTTTTACAGCTCTGCTTCTCATTTGAAAGGGATGGTGCATGTGAGGGATGGAGCTCACTATTTCTGGGCTCCCTACTAGGCACTGGGTTCTGCCCATAATATTTCTGTACCTCACTTGGGATAGACTTATTTCAATGTTTTGGTTTGACATTCTAATACAAATACACATTTTAAAGTCCTTATCCTAAAATAAGAGATAAAAGAGAACTGAATCATGTACTCCCCCAACATTGTCCCCCATCTCCATCTCCTACCCAAAGCCCAGAGCCAGTTAGTGGGTGCCTGTTGGGTCCTTTGCCTGGACAGACCTCCCCACCTCCCCCACAGAATCATATGCACACTGTTGTGTGGAAACAAAGAATGAGCCATGGGTGCTGGAACAGAAAAACAGGAGGCAGGAAGTGTTCCTGCCTTGTGTTTGCTACCTTGTGTTCTTTGACCCCCATGTTATTGTCGCATGTTATTGATGCACTTGCTGAGAGCTTGCGCCTACCCCAGCCCCAGGCTCCATGCTGAAGGGGATAAATAGGGAAGGGAGAAGAATAAAGTGTGCCTTTGCTTGCTGACCAAGAAGTGTGTGCTTTAATCCTGACGTCCTTCGCTCAGACCATCTCTGCTGTCGTGCTGGCGCGGCAGGTGCCCCCTAACCTGGTGGGGGAAAGGATTGGGGTTGCCATAGGCCAGCGGGAAAGGTGGGCCGCCAGGCCCCATCAAGTCCTGACAGGCTTGCACAGGAAACACCATGGAGGACCTGAGGGACACCAGCACCTGACCACAGCCCCACCAAAGGTTGACTGACTTTTTCCATATATCTGAGCCAAGGTGACCTCAGATCACCCTTAGCTCTAGCCTACCTTGTTGGGTTAAAGCACAAGTCTGCTGGCTAAGGCAGGGAATTCCCATTTCCAGACAGCTCTGTCCCCATGGATAGTTGCTTGGTAAACAACCAACTTACCTGCTCAGAGGGTGGGAGCACCCCCTCCCCCCCAGTAATTTAATAAATATGTGAACCCAGCTGAGTTCAAAGCTGGATGGTCCTGTGTTTGACTGCCAGGTGGTCAGTGGAACCACCTGCCTGGGTGACTTGGTGCCATGTCAGGAGGGCTCAGTGGGCCTGAGACACATTCCAGGAGCAAAGCTGCCCTTAACAGACTCCATTTATAGGGCAGTGATGGTCACAGTGGCCCTGCAGAATTTGATTTCTGCCTGCCCGGCAAAACTGACAGTGTTTTGTGTCAAATACACACAAAGTTTAAGCAAGTCAGAAGGGCGGGGTTTGCTTTCAATAGAGCAGGACAACCAGGGAACTTGAAGGCTCCAATTCCACCTTTTGCTAAGTAGTTACCTTCCTATTTGATGTCTCCTCTCCTCAGCCTGTGAGCAGCTCTACTTCCAGATGGCTACTACCTGGGGACAGGACTCTGGTGAACTGCTGAGCCAGAAATAGCCTCTTTGCAGGGACCCAGGATCAGAAGCTGGGCCACTGAGGTGTGCCAGCCTGCCGCGCAGTCAGGGTAAGGGAGATGTCTCTACAGGGTGTTAACAGGTTCACCATTTCCTTGCTTTCAAAAGCAGGCACCACATGGTCTTGCCTTTGACCAGGCACCATCCTTACAGCAGAGTGCATCTGGGTGGGCGAGGAGTGTGTGGGAAGTGGTTAGGGCACACCCTCTCAGTGACAAGATGGGGATTCTCAAGCTATGACTGAACTGACATACACCAGGATGGGACAGAAAGTTCCTGGCCATGTGCAGACATGGTCAAATCCTGCCCATCACTTAGTGACTTGGGGAAGCAAACCTGTTATAGCCTGATACACAATGGGGACTTGGGGAGGGGGGTGCGCCACTCCCCTCACAAGCTCTTGTCCTCTCCCCAAGGTAGCCCATTTCTGTCCCTGGGGCTTCTGGGCCTCATTGTGCTCCCTACTGGACTGCAGCTTCTGCAGGAATGGGCTACCACCATTTTGAGGGGCAGAGCCTGCCTTCTCACTTAAGCCCCACCACACACCATAGTTGGCCAGTTACCAATGGCCTACATGAGGTCTTTTTAGAATCAAACTACCTAAAAACAGGGACTGCCAATCTCAGGTGTTCCCTTGTTGACCTGCTGCCACTCTGCAATCCCTAGGGGCTCTCGCCAGACTTACTCTTCATGTTTGGCTCCAGTGTCTTGAGAGATGCTGGAGAGCGGGTAGGAAAACCCATTCAGAGCCAAGAGAGAAGGATGCTGCTGTTTCCAGTCCCTACCACCAGTTATATGCCTAGAGCTCAGTTCTCATAACTGTTTTTGTGCAAAATCCCATGCATACCATGACTAAGCTCTCCCTCAGTACTTCTAAAGACAATGTAGAGTGGCTTTAACCTTTTGGGAAAACAAGACCAAAATGGAACCACTGAGCCAGCTGATCTCCCCACTCTATCTGTGCTGCTGGCCCCATCCTGCTCCACCTTCAGAGGGCCAAACTCTAACCCTGACCGGACAAGAAAACATCACTTTCTCCAAGTCATCAGAGAAAGCTGTTCTTACATTTATTCCAATTAAAAAAATTTATTCTGTTACCAACACAGTAAACACAGACCATACAATTACATGCAGCACAGAGTAACAGCTGAGAGCAAATCCTAGACATTTTAGAATGAGTCACCATGAAAAAATTCTGCACAGTAAACTCTAATGAAGGTTGGTGGAAGAGTTGTAGTCACCCCACATATTTAAATGGAGCACAGCCTGGCAGGGGACTCCGGTCAGCTCAGCCCCCCAGAGCACCAGCTGTGTGACAAACCTGTCACTGTGTTTCCTGCGCTATTTTGGACTACCCTGTCTTTTGGACAGTATTGAGAAGCTTATGTCTTTTTAGACTTCAAACACTTGTGAGAAAGAGGGGTGACACACTGTAGAACCCACAGGCCTTTGCTGTGCCCCAATTCTGCAATGAGGAGCAGATGCCCCCCATGCAAGCCTTTTGAGCACTCCAAGGCTATCCTGGGAACTAGAGACACCAGTAATGAGGGACAGGAATGACCAGAATGCAGGCAGTACCCTTTTCGTATACAGTAATTTCCCTGTTAAATCAGTATTAAACTGAAAAGAAAGCAAGTACAAAAAACTGAACCCATTACTTTATTATTAACACACCTGAGGTTCTCACCCTGTAGTTTTATCAAAAAGCATGAAAATTTTGTAAAAATCTAAATGGACAAGTCAATTCAAAAGGACACTGCAACATCTTTCTGCAGTAACCCAGAGGATGCCCTAACCTAGGCCCAGCCCAGACACTGGTTTCCTTAAGTGACAAAACACACAGTGCAGTTACACGCTGAGGGGCTGACGTGCAACATTCAGCAGGCTTTCTCCCCGTGTGTCTTGGAACGTGGTCATTTGAGTGACAGAACTGCCTTAATCCTACAAAACAGGTACAATTTTGATTCAATATCCTGAGGCAGCAAGTCGAGGCTGGGGGACAAAGACCCCCATACAACTCCGTGGGGATGGTGTTCATGAAGGGGACCAGTCTTTGGGGCAGCTGTGCATGCCACTGTTGGCTCATCGCTTCAGTAGCCCTGCAATCCTTGCTTTGATGTCCAGGGTCACAGCCATCCTGCTCCCAGCCAGGGCTGGGAGATGTCTGAAAAGAATCTTGCTGTGATCTTTCCTGCAAAGGGAACAGTAATAAAATTTATTGCCCAGTCAGAGTTGAGGAATTCTTATAAAGGGGCACCTCTGTGCCTCTGCTCTCTGCTGTGGAGAGGACTCTGCAGAGAGGACAGGCCTCTGAGACCCAAGTCGCAGCTCACACCCCAGAGTGGGGATCACTGGGTTCACATGTGGCTATGAAAGCCAGCACTGTCACCGAGGCTTCACTCACAAGGAAGTATCCAGAAAGACAGCCCATTTTACTTACATTCATGGATTATTTTCAGACTGTCTACATTCTATACCACAGGAGAGGTGGGCATCGCCTGTGTCACACATTTATGGCACTAATAACACGTCTGCTTTCAGTGAAGAGCCTGGCTTTCACGTCAGCAGTTTTATGGTTCTCCCACCATCTACACAACAGGACCACATACAGATAGCACCACTGCTGCCATCAGGATTTGGTGGCGGCCGCTCAGCTGTCTTGCGGGATGGAGTCCAGCTCCTGAGCCTCTGGGCACATACAAACAGGAAGGCTTTTTGCTCTAGGGCTCGACTCCTGTTCCTGCTGAACTGAGCCAGTGTGTAAAATGAGAACTGATATCAGCTCAGTAGGCACCGGAGGGCGGGTCCAATCGCCAGCCTGGAGAAGCAGCGCCTCGGCCGAGAGCTCGCTCCGTCGTCTGCTGGCCGCTGAGGAAGACACAGAAGCCTAGACTGCAAATACAAGAGAGAGTTCACCACGCTCAGGAAGTCACCACAGGCTCTCCTTCAGCAGCCCAGACCACTCACATGCAACCAACTGCTGCTACAGTTTTACTGACTTGTCATGCATCTGGTTTACTTTTTCCTAAGAGTAATTTCTGCTTTCACTTCACTTGACCTTTCAGACAGATGGCTAACTAGTGGGCTTATAATTCTATGGACTTCCGGTACAATCCTTGCCTTCGTGCAGGAGAAAGTGCATCCGTGAGGCCACAGGTCTCATCCTCCAGCATGGTACTCAAGACCCGAGCAGCGGGCACTCGCTCATAGCAGCGGCCTCTGCCCCGTGGTTCCAACTTAACTGTCCCCATATCTCACCTTCTCTTCAGGTGCAGAACTTAGCCACTGTGAACAAAGCGGAAACCAGTCACTGTTCACCAATCAGCTAAGCTCTGCACCTCGTCAGAGAGGTCATCGGCTGGGCATAGTGAGGGGCCACGAGCATCTTCCACTGTGTCGGCTTCTGTTTCCAGAGAGGAGCTATAGAGGCGTCTGTTCTCCAACTGCAGAGAGAGGGGAACTCTAGCTTCTGGAGGAGCAGCCAAGGTCATGGTTGCGTGGTAATCCCTGGCAATGTGATTTTAATCTTAAGTCACAAATCAGCATGCCAGGAACCCAAGCAGCCAGAGCACTCCGGTGCAGCCGTGCCCGCCCATCACAGCCCCGTCGCAGGCATGGGGTTCTTGTACACAGGAGACGATACCACCTCCAGGCCTCTAAGCTATTATAGGGCCTTTCCTGCTTCCTGTTCATTTACTTGGTACCCTAGACATATAACTTTTTAAATCAAAAGGACTCAGGACAGTCATAAATACCAGTACAGCCTGGGAACATGAAATGAAAAATACACTGAGCAGACATTCTGCAAAATGAGGAAACACAAGTAGGGTAGAGATCCTAAATGGCCCACAATTTAAGGTTAATAAAGACTCCTGACTGTATGAAGGTCCACACAGCCTGTCACTACTGTCACTCAAGAGGGCAGAGCTGGGGACCCAGGTCATGCTGTTCCCATGCCTTATTCAGAAAGGGCAGGGATGGGAAGTGTTAGGGGAAGGGACAAACAGCAGACTCAGAACCAGGATGTCTCTTTCACCTACTTGGGACAAAAAATCACAAGAATGGCCAGAGTAGTGCAGCCTGCACTGGGTTCCTAAAACTTGGAACTCAGGGTATAGTCTACCCTACTGTAGTTGCACGTATTGCTAAAAATACCAAGTGTGAAATTAAAAATATGAAGAGAAACATGACTTATACTGATTACTATATGCAGTTTGCAACATGGTTAACTGTATAACTTCTCTGTTTTTCAAACTAGCTGCCTGAGGGGCGTTTGTGTGTTGTGTGTGAAGTCTGCCTGTGGTTACACCACAAGATACACAATGGTGGCATTATTTTTCTATTTCTTTTTCCTGGCAAACATGGGTCCTTGATGCTTCTGGAAGAACAGAATCATACTTTATAAAACTATTTTTTGGTCTCTGCACAGCATTAGAGTTCTTTCAGATAAATTAAGATGATTAAACATGTTATACAGAAATGGTTTTTATAAGAACAAAACATTAGAAGCAAACTAAATGTCCACTAGTGGGTTAAGAACATAAACAGAAAATATGAAATGGCCATTAAAATCTTATTTATAAAGATATGCAACATGAAAAATGTGTGAGATTTGATGCTAAACTATAAAAAAAATACAAAATTAGACATACTCTATTATGTAAAATCTTGAAGAAAAACTGAAAAGATACGGAAATGATAATGACTGTTGGGGGAAAAATATACTTAAAATATAATCCCACAGTTCTACTTAAGAAACTTTATGTACCATTCATTGCTAAATTACTTTTAAAATGCAGAAACCCACAGTTTAAAATGAACCGCCAGGATATAAATCTAGAAGTTCAATTCCAAACACAATTAACAGAATGAGCAACATATGTGATTTATGTGTATCCCAGTCCAAGTGAAGCCAGGAAGCCTTTCTGCTCAAGCATTACAAAGCTCAGAGCACCCTGCACACCATGGTGAGCAACCTCTGCTAGTCTCATTGATTATGTGGAGACAGACTGCGGATCCTAGTTACCACACAGTGAAGGTTTAGTAACCCCACGATGTACCCACTGCTGGCCTTCACTGTGAAGACCAGGGACCAGGGCTTCCACGGGCTTCCCAGTCCATTTTCCAAGATGTCCTGCTATGAATCTAGTGCTCACAGATAACAAATTCTGACATTGTCCCAAAGTGGCCTAGCAGAGCTGACTCTGCTCTCCACAGCCACCCAGCCATCCAGGGAGAACAGAGGACTGATGCTGTGTGAGTCCTCCACTCACTACCTGCTCACTGGTCATTTGCCTGCAAAGAGGACTCTATGGTTAGAAGCAAAAAATGAGGAAAAGAAAGGAAGAGTCACCTTTTTCAAAACAACATCTCAGCGACCACCTCTGCACAGGTTCTGTCCATCTGCTCCTTGGTCAGCTCAAAGCACCTGCGGGCGAGCTGCTGTTGCCTGGCATCCTCACCCACCATCAGCTCCCCATAGAGGTAGATGCCCATGGCCTAGAGGGGTACAAAGGCCAGAGAGTATAAGAAAAGGCAAACCGTCTGTGCATGCACACGCAGTCTGTGCTGCTTTCACACAAACCTCATGGTTAAGAAATGACAAACACCCTAGAAGACACAGTTGAGTAGCTATAATACTGGAATCTGAAGTTTTCAATTCCCTTCTCTTGTTCTCTGGGAAACCCCAAGGAATTCTTAGCTATCAATTTAATCAGCAGCCCCAGGTGGTTTAAATGACCAGAGGGCCTGTGAGCATGTGTCTGGTCAGGGAAGTTCTGGATAGAGACAGAGGTCCCCACAGACCAGCACAGTATGGAGGTGGCATGCATATGTCACAGGCACATTTCCGAAGAAAACAAGTACCTAGATGTGGCTGGGAAATAAGACCACCATGTCATGTGACAGCCACAGGCACAAGAGCCATCACGTCAGCCCGAGAAAGATGCCTGTTGCACCAGGCCCTCCTGACCCCTTTCCTCCCACTGTCCTCACCACTGTGGCAAACACTGACTCTTGTGTTTCAAAAACAATGCTGCCAAGACTCACATCTGCATTTTTCCTGCAGTTTTCAAAACAGCCAATTATGTTCTGGAACCCCAAGCGCCCTTTGGTTGTGTCTCCTCTCTTGTTTCAAGCTCAGTTATGCCACGGATTACATTCTGTTGGAGCAAATTAAAAGAAGGATCTCCAAGATTGCACAACACAAAAACTTGGTAGTTATGGGTTCAAAATTCTTTCCTGAAAAAGCTGAGATATGGATTCTTACTTGGAAAAGATCATGGTTCTAAATAGACTGCAGTTGATTTTGGTTTTCAGAGCAGACCTAAGTTGCTCCTACATTTTGTCCTTCTTATACACCCTTCTGTGTTTCCAAACTTCTCTTGCAAATGTGACATTTCTTCTGGTACAAAGTCAAGTATTTTTCTTTGTGGGAATAACGAGCCCTGACTTGCTGGCTGTCCCCTGTACTCAAGCCCTCTCAAATGACCTTTTGTTTGCCCTACCCCCACTCTCCACCCCAACTGAAACTTGGCTCCATGTTGCCAACCCACAGAGCTGGGCAGAAAGCTGGAAGCACACATGGTCACACGGACAGGCTGACTATTATGGCTGAACGAACCTGCGACACTCAGGAGCCACGCTGGATGACATTCATAGCACAGCCCTGTAGAGGCTGGAAGGAGGGCATTCCTAGAGTTGTTCATGTGGGTACATGTTTCTTTCTGTGTATCCTTGAGGGAGTGAGGAAAGTTCTAGCAGAAATAGGAAGAAACCTCAACACAGGGGCCCTATCTTTATGGCAGATGCAGCTACAGACCTGGACTGTTCCAGCCAGGTGGGGCACTCTCTGTCTAATCTTTAAGTTAGGGCCACTGGCAATTCGGAAATACCTCTAGGCATCATTAAGTCACAACCCTAGGCTGAGATCTGGAGAGGCCATGAGCCTGTGCAGACTCCATTCAGTAAGGCAGTGGTGTGGTTCAGTGAGGTGAAAGCAAGGGCAAGGGGTGCAGCGCACAAGGGGTGCAATTCAATGCTTTAGCAGGACACCAAGAAAGGGAAGAAATCAGCTCTCCAATGAGCTATGTAAGCTTCTCTTTATTCTTAAATATCTTTGAAAAGTGCTTCTGTATTTACTGTGCAAGTATACCTGACAACATTTGAGGAATTCCCATCTGCTGAGAAATGAACCTCACCTGGTCCTCCTGAAGGAATCTCTCCACAGCTTTGTATGCTCGTCTGTATTTGTGCTTGACAATGAGTTCACACCACCGGTGGCGAACCTTAAAAAATGAGAAAAGCCAGTAAGTGATGAACTGCAAGGTTTCCTTAGTCTCTTTAAAGAGTTCAATGATCAAGTTCTGTGTGTCTGGAAAAGTTACTCTCTGAAATATATTAACTTTGCTAACCCTTTCCGTTTTTAAATTTAATTTCTTTTACAAGAAAGGAAAAGCGTTAACCACCTCTGGGGTAGGTTGAGTGTCTGTCTCAGATTTTTTTCATGTTTTTAAGCACTATTTTGTAAGGTAACAGATGAACACAATTGTACCTAGGGGATTAAATTCAAGTTTTCGCTGATTTGTGCTCAGCTCTGAAGTTCAGGGTTAATGAAGGTGTCTCTAAGACCACAGCTACTTTCTGCAAGAACCGATCAAGTTCAGTGCTACCCATCATAATAAACATGCTAAAGGCAGGACAACACTGCCCTCCACATTCCTAAGAAAAACCAGTGGGTGCCTTCTGAGAAGTCTGGGGTGTTCTCCCAATGGAGGAAGCAAGGACAGACCATTCTCACATAGGTAGCTCCTGCTGACCACCAATGAATGCACCAAAGATTTGCATAAGGCACTGAAGATAGATGAGCTCAGTTGACTGCCAGTAAGTAAGGTGACACTTTACTGAAGGTTTATCAGCAGGAATTTGCTTAGGGAACATTTCATTCCCATCAGGCAGACAGGACAGGAGTCTGATCCCAGCACTGGCGGTCTCAGCAGAGAGCAAGAGGTACATTTTTTATGTGGAGGTTCTACCTGAATTTGGTTTTCAGAGTGCAAACTCAAGCCATTTTCCAAGGCATATCCAGTGAAGGGGATCCAATGAACCAGGAACCCATTCTCAGTTCAACTTTTAGCCATACATAGTAAAAAGCCACCTTCCATCATTGCTTTCTTTCACTGCTTTTGAAAGAGACATATACCCTTTACAACAATCCATTTGTGGCAGTAGTAAAATGTAATAAGCAATTTCAATATTTTGGTGGGCCCCATATAAATTATATCATTATCCAGACTGGATCTCTTCTTTAATATACTATAAATAGGTTTGGACACAACAATTAGGAAGCAAGGGGAGAAACAAATCTTTTGGGAAAAATCCCTCCCCGGGGCCATATTGCACTCTGAGACTTGGGGGTTCCTGTGGCACTGCCCTTCACTGTGGGTAAGCACACCCTTTGAATTTTGAAGGACAGGAGGTCAACAAATTTGACATTCAGCAAGGATTGTGAAAATGAAGTAACCACCTGGATCATCACAACTAAAAGGGAAACAGACCAGACTGGATGGGTCTCAGAAACATTTTCATCTTCAACAAATGTTTTTTCCCCTACAGCCAAAAGAAATTAACAAGAGGCTATAGAAAGGAAGGGTACTCCTAATATGTTCTTCATGGAAAAAACAAGTCATCAGTGCTCAGAACAGCCCACTCCTCACACACTACACTGGTGAAAGGAAGTGGATGCTGCTCTAGACTCTGGTTCAAGTACCAATGGCCAAGAACATGAATACTCCTGTACTGGTTTTTCTCCAAGCTTATGGTAACCCCAACACCTCAGACACCACCAACCCTGTCTATATGCCTGGCAGCCTTTTGCTTGTGAGTTTTACCAACACGAGTGCCAGTCCCCACAGCCAGGAGCCCTGTGATGACTGCTGAGCCGCTCACTTAGGGCTCCCAGGAATGAACCTCAACCACAACATGGGAGTAACACCTGCACCAACTTCACCAGGACCAGGTCTGGGAAAGCTCTACGGCTTTGAGGTGTGCTAAAGACACGAGTCACTCAGGGTGACCACCATGTCACAGGGCACCTTTGCAGTCCTCGTCCTTCTAAACATTAAGGGACATTATGTAAGATTTGATGATTTTCAGAATAGAGGGTTCAGGATTTTGATTTATAGTTCCTATGCTCTCTTCATCTTATGTCTACTTACAGAAATAATGAATAAATTAGAGCCCCTCTCCTAGTGACTAAAGGTCCCGAGGCAGGCGGGAGGTTGGGGTGGTTCCTTCATAACCTGAAGGTCCAGGAGATGGGTGAGAGAAAGAGGCTCTTTCACAACCACTATGAAGTCAACATTTCCATTTCTCTTACTGTTAAAAATAGTTTACTGTCACATTTTATAAGTGATCTAATTTTCTGAGGCCTGAAAGCAAATATGGCCTCCAGGAAGTAAAGACTAACCTCCCTCCAAACCCTACTCTAGGAAGAGCAGAAAAAAAATCAAGACTTTTTGTTACAAAAGAGCAAAATGCATTTTAATATTTTAGTGACAGAATGTTTGCAAGACATTCAGAGGATGGGCGCCCAACAGATATTTCTTGATTGTGCACAGGGTTCTTTACTTCATTTTTCTCTGCAAAAACAAACAAACAGACAAAATCCTGGAACTTTAAACACCTAAATAACACCTATAATTGTCACTGCCACTTTTCTCCACATGCAACAGGGGTTTCCCAAAAAACTAGTAGGGAAATAACATTTGCTTTAATTCTTCCCAGTAATATTTGCATGCTGGGCACCCCTTTTCCTAGTCAGAGCAACTTAAAAAACCTCAACAAAGGCTGTCATGCTTTTGTGCAGACAATGGAGGAAAAAGAAAGTACTCAGCTTCAGGCCAGAGTCAGAAAATTTGGAAGCAGGTCTCTAAGAAGAAAGCTGTTTATTCTGCACACGTGCTCCTATTTTCTGGTTAAATAATTAATGGGGTGCTTGTTCCTTCATTTCCTCAGTGAGGCCATGCAAACAAGTGAACAGCACCTCCAGTCAATCAACCCTGCAGGAGGAGATGCAACAAGTTTGAAAAAGAGGGAGGCAGGGAGTGCAGAAAAACAACAAACAAGTTGCAGAAAATCAGAGGATGACTGTGACCAGCAAACAATGGCGACTGAGCTGGCACGCTAGCCTGCCAGATCCAGGACAAGGACACAACCCAAACAGCCCTGTTTCAGATTCCCCAAAACTGTGTAATGCATTTTGCACAGCATCCTGGTAACTGGATGATGAAGAATAATGAAGAAAGGGGATTTGATCTTATTATTCTCACCAAGTAAGAGTCAAGTTATTACATATACGTGCACATATACAGGCATGCATCCATAAGTACTACAGTTCAGTAATAATTACTTTGACCTGCTTAAGGAACACTCTGAACAGAAAACTGATGTGGTGGCTGTGCTCAGGTGGATTGCAAAACAGAGGCTGGCTTACACCACTGAGAGCACACTCTGGCAGTTCTGGGTTCTTAACTGTCCATGAAAAAAAGTGATTGGCATACAGACATCGATGCACCTCCAGAAATAGCCAATAATGTGACTAGTTCTTCGGTGCTGGACACTAATGGGAGTGTAAAGAAGTGCTTTCCATCTGCTTGGGAGTAGTAACTCCAAGGAAGTGTTTGTCACTTGTCAGGGAGTGGATGCGATGAATTTGGGTTGTAAGAGTACAGGGATACTCACAAAAGCTGATTCATGACAACCCCACATTTGATGACACAAAAACTAAAACCCGCAACAATCTGTGTAACTGTCCAGATGGTGGGTCCCATCAGGACAGGGTGAGTCACCTGGGAGATCGGAGCACCACTTGGCCTGTACAGCCAAATGGCCCCTCGTAGGAAACATCCAGCACTGGCTGTGAGCTGACTCCAAGCTCATTCCAAGCACATCAGGCAGCCAGGTCCTCCTATAATGCGAGCTGGGGAAGAGGCATGTGGCAGAGTGGCAGCCTGAACCAGCACATGCACGCTGAGACCAACGTTTCACTTAGTGTGTTTTCCCTCACTATATACAACACATTGATGTGTTCTGTTCCTTTATTTAATGCTGATTGGGACCCTACTAAACTGATTTCATGACCCAATTGTATCTTGCCTCAGTGGGAAAACCTAAAAATGGAGACCTCATCCTCTCCCTGGGCGGGTGCTAGAGCACCAGCCCTCTGGGCTGCCCTTGGCGAAGTCACCCAAGGCAAGTGTCAAAACATAACTGTCACGTAGGACATGCCCGTCATCTTGGCAGGAGGAGCCTTGATTCTGGCTTCCTTTCCTACTTTAATTGTCCTGTTATTTGCTGAATTTATGAAAATAGGAGTAATAACTCCAAGTAAGTGTTTGTCACCTGTCAGATGCCTGCTGCTTTCCAAGCAGATAGAGGCCAGTATAGAAGAAACTTACAGAGCAGGGCCTGGGCTGACAGGGCAGTGGTGGGACAACACAGCCTGGAAACTAGAGGGCAAAGGGCAGGAGCTGTCCTTGATGGGCCTCACAGAGTAGCCTGCGTCTCATTCTCAGGGGAGAGGTGCAGAAGAAACACGGTCACCCATCCTGGCCAGGCACCTGGGCATTTTCCAAACCATTTGTTGGATAAGATGGAGCAGGCTTGCTAGGATCAGCCCTGGGCTCATGGATTTTCAAGAAAATGACTAAGCTGACTGCCCTTTGAGTTCAGGTGCTCAAAAAACACTGCCTGCCTTGTAGTCACTGATATGCCCACACCAGTGTTGATTTTAGGGAACAAGTCTTACGCTTATTATATAACAGACCAATGGCCTCTTTGATATAACCATGGCCCATACTGGGGCTCTCTCTCTTTCATTGTTCTCTCCTGGAAACAGGAGCGAGAAGCTGCTAAAGGACAACCTATCCCTCATCCCAATCTCTTTTCAACCTTAAAACTGTAGTGCATCTCAGTACTGAGAAGCTAAAGCCACTTCTGCATGAGTTCGATTCCCGCCTGCCCTGGAGGTGACCACATGGCATGGCAGACCTCTCCTGACCCACCCGCTGCTCCCCTCAGCAGTGTACTTCGTAGATCTGCCTGTTCTGCTCCCCACTCTGTCTCTGGTGAAGCCTCTTGCCGCCCCTGAGCCTCTGGCCTGTACCCCAGCTCTGTATGCACAAATAAATAAATCTTTAAAAAAAAAAAAAACAAAAACTGTAGTGCATCTAGAACAGGTATCCTACTACATTAGTCTAGATGGGTTGGCCCTTTTCTGTCAAGAGTC